TATTACATACAGCGGCCTTTAAAAGAGGTTGTTGTATTTGATTGTTAACGAATAAATTTATTCTATGTAAACACCATATGATACGGTCTTTGGGGGCGTTTCAATTCAGCAAATCAAGGAACATTTTCTGTCCTAGTGTTGACACTGTTCATTTAACACTGTCACCTGATGTATATATAGTTATTACTGTTGTTTCTGTTTTTTATTTAAAAATTGCGTATACTAGCTAGCGTTAGATGGTATGTGTATAGTTTTTGTTAGTGTGGTCAATGTATACATTTTCAATATCAAAGTAAATCCAGGAATATCAAGATTTAAGGAAGTAACTTTTATCGGCGGTTTTAATTATATCTGTCTGAATAATAATTTCGTGATATTCTCATGCCCCGAGAGTGTCTTCACAAATTCCTATGATTAAGTACAGGAGAGCAAATAAATAAAAAGTTTATATTTTTTTTTATCATTTTTGTTCTTATTTATTTAATGATGCATCATTATTTTGATACTAAAATTATTGTTTCATTCTCGGAGAGTTTATTTTTTCTATCAAGTTTTAACTAAATTTGGCATATACTATTCCGTAAGATATAAGATATTCCTTCTCCAGCTGGAAAGAAGTTTGAATATATACCTGTTGGTGGTAAATATGGTAGCAGTCGTCCGCAAGGATATGAAGGCACTTGATACTATCAACTGGTGGCAGTAAGCTACTAATCGAGCTGGCTGGAGTAGGTTACTGGACACGACCAAGGATGATTTATGTATGTAGTGACGAACTAAGTAAGTAAGTTTGTAAGTATTGCTAAGAACTTCATTGTTACTTCTATGGAGTAAGCAAATCAATGATGCGTTATTATTTTAATAATAAGTACTTCGTCAATCATCTTTCCATTCTCGAATAATTTGTTTTTTTTTTTTATTTATGTGAGTTTAACTGGAAAAAGCACTTAATTGCATGAAAGTTGATATATTTTGTGGATATTTAACTCTGCATTCAGATTTCTACCGAGCAACGTATGTGGCGTAAAAATGTAGCCTAGCTTCAATAGATTCTATAATCTTCAATTTAGTACTTCTACCTATTTTATAAAAAAAATTTACGCTACCTTAGAAATATGAATACCCCAAAGTATGGGAAGAATTTCTTACAATATTTCTTAATATTTTAAAGCTTAAGCATTTCATTTTGTATTTAGAAATTTTAACTATAAAATAACTGATAGTGTGATATTCATTATATAAAGAATGATGAATTTTTATTTAAATAAAAAATTAAGAAATTAAAAAAAATACTTTATTCCTTAAAAAGTATTATATTTTGAAATTGAACTTTTATTTTTTTTAAGCAATCCAATCCATCCCGTTAATCGCGCCTATTTTTCATTTCGTTATAACATATATCGATTAACTTTTCTCACCTGCAACTCGTGCATGTAACAAACGAAATTGGTAATAAAAATATTTTGAAATTTAAATTACATTTCAGAAGTAAAAGTAAATCATTACAGAAACTCTCCGCTTTTCATTTCAGTTGTTGTGAATAGGATTTGCTGTAGTGCATCCAACATCCCAAGTGATTTAGTGAAATAACCGTAGTTGGCACAGTTTTCGTCTACGTATTGGCGCCCGTTGACAGACCGTTGACATCGCACGGTGTATGGAATGTTGTAGCATGAACCAAGTATGCATCGTGAATGAATGGATTAAATCTTTGTATTGGCAGATTAAAATGAAATTGAAAAATATAGTTCGTCAGACGATATTATAAATTGAATTTAATATTTAAAATAAAATGCTATGAAGTTCGAAAGATTGCTTTAAGGACTAAAATAATCCTTTCGAATGATGCCTACATGAAAAATTATAAACTTTTTTAATTTCAAATGCAAAATGCTCTGATGCTTGAACTGAAGACGTTCTGATTGAGCGCATTTTGATAAATTATACTTTAAATAAAATTCAATCTAAAAATATTTTGCACTTTCGCACAGTTATTCCGCAGAGTTCAATGATAGAAAACTGTGATCGCCGTATTATATTACTTTTCATCGAAGTAAAATTTTATTATTGATTGTAACACTACTAAGTGTGCTGTTCGAAGTGTGTTTCGAGGGTTCGAAACAGATAAATCAGAATGACTTCATAAATATGCAAGGACTTATTAACAAACCAATAATTGTTTACTGGGTAATACTAGATAGAGCATTCAATAACAGATATAAGGCCCCAAATTTTGCCAGGCTGTAGTGACAAATCTGCCACATTTACAGAAAACACTCAATACTACAGAATAGAAATGGGTACCGTAAATAGACTACCGGATTATTGCAGCGTCTCTTTAAACAAAAATTGAAACCTATATCACGTTTATGATCCTGCGATTTAACAACGAATTTTCTTGAATTTCATTTTTGTTAATAACTATTCCGTTTCTCTACATGCCGATATAGCACCAATCTCGAGATATCGGGCTTTAAACCTGTAAAGTCAATAAATAAATAAAAGATAAGTTAGTAGTCCCGTCAGGACTACTTCGTAATG